CTTTCTTTCTTTCTTTCTTTCTTTCTTTCTTTCTTTCTTTCTTTCTTCCTTTCTTTTTGTGAAGCAATTGGGGTTAAGTGACTTGCCCAGAGTCACACAGCTAGTGAATGTTATGTGTCTGATACTGGATTTGAACTCAGGTCCTCCTGACTCCAGGGCTGGTGCTGTATCTACTGCACCACCTAGCTGCCCCTACTTTCCAGTCTTGCCCCAATAGCTGGGATCTTAAAGTTTATCAAACACTAGGTTCCTGTGCCCATGTACTTTTATGTGTTGTGCATCTAACCTGTTCCATTAATCCACCACTGTATTACTTTTCCAGTACCAGATTGTTTTGATGCTTACTGCTTTGTAATATAGTTTGAAATCTGGTCTGCTAGGTCATCTTCTTTCACATTTTTTTTCATTGATTTCCTTGACCTTTTGTTCTTCCAGATGAATTTTGTTGTTATTTTTTCTAGCTCTATAAAGTAATTCTTTGATAATTTTATTGCGTGGAATAAGTAAATAAAGTTAGTTAGTATTGTCATTTTTATTATATTGGCTTGGCCTACCAATAAGCCATTAATCTTTCTCCAATTGTTTAAATCTGTCTTTATTTGTGGAAAAAAATGTTTTGTAATTATGTTCATATAATTCTGGTGGGTATCATAGTAGGTAGACTCCCAAGTATTTTGTACTATCTGCATTTATTTCAAATGGAATTTCTTTTTCTATTTATTCCTGCTGGGTTTTGTTGGTAATATATAGAAATAGTGGTGATTTATGCGGATTTATTTTGTATCCTGCAACTTTGCTAACGTTGTTAATTGTTTTGATTAGTTTTTCAGTTGATTCTGTAGGGTTCTCTAAGTAAACCATCATATTGTCTGGAAAAAAGTGATAGTTTTGTTTCCTCTTTGCCTATGCTTATTCACTTTCTTTTCTGTCTTATTGATATAATTAGCATTCTAATACAATGTTGAAGAGAACTGGTGATAATGGACATCCTTGCTTCACCTCTGCTCTTACTGGAGTGGCTTCTAGTTTATCCCTATTATAGGTAATACTTGCTATTGATTTTAGATTTTTGTTTTTGTTCAGTTGTTTTAGTCATGTCTGATTCTTTGTGACCCCCATTTGGGGTTTTCTTCACAAAGATGCTGGAGTACTTTGCCATTTCCTTCTCTAGCTCATTTTACAGATGAGGAAACTGAGGCAAACAGGGTTAAGTGACTTGCCCAGGGTCACACAGCTAGTAAATGTATGAGGCCAGATTTGAATTTAGGAAGATGAGTTTTCCTGACTCCAGGACCAGCACTCCATCCACTGTGCCACCTAGCTGCCTCATTTTAGATAGATACTACTTATTATTTTAAGAAAAAACTTCCTTTATTCCTATGCTTTCTAGCATATTTATTAGTGATAGGTGTTATATTTTATTAAAACCTTTTTCTGCAATTGTATGCTTTTTTTGTTTTCGTTTTTGATATGGTTGGCTATGCTTATAATTTTCCTTATATTGAACCAGTTCTGCATTCCTGATATAAATCCAGCCTGTTCATAGTGTGTGATCTTTGTGGTATATTGTTGTAATTTCCTTGCTAACATTTCATTTAAAATTTTTTTTGCATCAATATTCATTGGGGAAATTGGCTTATGGTTTTGTTTCATTGTTTTTGCCCTCCCTGGTTTAAGTATCAAGATTATATATGTGTTATAGCAGGAATTTGGTAGGAATCCTTTACCTATTTTATCAAACAGTTTTTCTAGTATTGGAATTAATTGTTCTTTAAATGTTTGCTAGAATTTGCTTGTAAATCCATCTGATGCTGGGGTATTTTTCTTAAGGAGCTCATTGATGGCTTGTTCAATTTCTTATTCTTTTTTTTTTTCTTTCTTTTTCTTTTTTTCTTGGTGAGGCAATTGGGGTTAAGTGACTTGCCCAGAGTCACACAGCTAGTGAGTGTTATATGTCTGAAGTCACATTTGAACTCAGGTTCTCCTGACTTCAGGGCCAGTGCTGTATCCACTGCGCCACCTAGCTGCCCCTCAATTTCTTATTCTAAGATATGAGATGAATGAAAAACCCAAGAGACAGACTTTCTGGGTAATTAATAATCAATTTGTTAATTAGACTAGCTAAAAATCAATAAATTGATAGTCATTGGTTTCTCTTGGCAACCAAAGACTCATAATGGAGACACTGAATACCTTAAATATTTTTTTGAAAGGGAATGACCTTGGCAGGAGAAATGAACTTATATTGGTGAACAATTAATGAGGGGGTAGGCATATTAATGAGGAAGTGGTCTAAAAATCTTTAGCTCCTCCTGGTGAGAATGTGGCTTGATCCTGGGACTCAGCTTCAGCAATCTGGACAGAGGAATCCATCTCTACCCAGACCACTCTGGTTGGTTTTCTCCTTCATGAGCTGGATTGCCCTAAACTCCAATGGGGTGGAGAGGGGAGCTGTTTCATGGGCATAGACTTGGTGTTTTGGGGTTGGAATTCACCTACATTAGATTCTCTTTACACTCTAAAGAGAAGTGAGGTCTCCTAGTTGGATGGGGTCCCACCCAAGATCCTAGAGCATGTATTCCATTCTGAGGATAAGTTAATCTCATCTGTCAGCCTTGTCCTTCAGTGTGACCTACAGGAGCTGTTCCCTGAATGAGGAAATAAAAAGCCTGGATCCTAATTAATAATGGGTTATTCTATTCTATATAAGAGAAAATAATCATTTCTCTCAGATAGGGTTATTTAAGTATTCTATTTCCTGTTCTGTTAATCTTGGCAATTTATATTTTTGTGAATATTCATCTATTTCATTAAGATTGTCACTTTTATTGGCATATAGCTGGGCAAAATTGTTCCTAATTATTGCTTTTATTTCATCTTCATTGGTTGTGTATTCCCTCTTTTCATTTGTGATATTGGTAGTTTGGCTTTCTTTTTTAATTAAATTAACCTATGGTTTATTTATTTGTTTTTTTTTTCATAAAACCACATCCAAGTTTTATTATTTCAATGTTTTGTTTTGTTTTGTTTAACTTTCATCTTTATTTATCTCTCCTTTGATTTTCAGGATTTCTATTTTGGTGTTTAAAATTTCTTGTTTTTCTAGTTTTTTTAGCCACATGCCCAATTGTTGCTGTGCTCTTTCTTCTCTTAACATAAGCATTTAGAGATATAAATTTTCCCCGAAGTACTTCTTTGGCAACATTCCACAAATTTTGGTATGTTATCTCACTGTTGTCATTATCTTTGATGAAATTATTGTTTCTATGATTTGTTGTTACCCATTCATTCATTCTTTTTTTTATTTATGGAATAAAACAAGCATTTCCATAATATAGTACAATAAAAAAAGATGATTGTATATGAAACTGCAAATCTGCTATGTACAACTTGCTATTCCTTTCAAATCTACAACAAAATTATTATGTAGATTTTTTTTCTTCCCTCCTCTCCCCCACACCCTAAAGATGACTATAGGTAGACACGTGTGTGTGTGTGTGTGTGTGTGTGTGTGTGTGTAAATTATTCTCTACATATTTCTATTTATCAGTTGTTTCTCTGGATGCAGATAGTGCCTTTTTTCATATATCCTTTATAGTTAATTTGGGTATTTATAATAGACAAAATAACTTATTTGCTCAAAGTCATTTTTATAACAATGTTGTTGTTACTGTATACCATGTTTTCTTGGTTCTGCTCATTTGGCTCTTCATTATTTCATGCAAGTCTTTCCATGTTTTTTTCTAAAATCCCCGAGCTCATAATTTCTCATAGCACAGTAGTATTCCATTACAATCATATACCACAACTTGTTCAGTCATTCCCCAATTGATAGGCATCGCCATGATTTCCAGTTCTTCGCCACCACAAAAAGGGCTGCTGTAAACCTTCTAGAACATATAGGTTCTTTTCCTTTTTCCCTAATCATCTTTGTAAATAGACCAAGTAATGGTATTGCTAGGTCAAAAGGTATAGGCAATTTGATAACTCTTTGGGCATAATTTCAGATTGCTCTCCAAAATGGTTGGATCATTTCACAATTCCACCAACAATGAATTAGTGTCCCAATTTTTCTACATCCTCTCCAACACTTGTCATTTTACCATTCTATCATTTTAGACAATATGGTAGGTGTAAAATGATACCTCAAGATTATTTTAATCTGCATTTCTTTAATCAATAATAATTTAGAGTATTTTTATGTCTTTCTTCATTGAAAAATTGCCTATTCATATCCTTTGACCATTTATCAATTGGAGGATGACTTGTATTCTTGTCTATTTGACAAAGTTCTTTATATATTTTAGATATGAGACCTTTATTTGATAAACTATTAATTTTTTTTCCAATTTTCTGCTTTCCTTCTAATCTTGGCTATGTTAATTTTATTTGCACAAAACCTTTTAATTAAATGTAAATGAAATTATCCATTTGGTACCTAATTTTGCTCTCTATCTCTTGTTTATTCATGAATTGTTTACCTATGCATAAACCTGATAAGTAATATGTTCCATGTTCTTGTAAAATCTTTCTTTATATCTAAGTCAGGTATCCATTTTGACCTTATCTTGGTAAATGGTGTGAGATATTGGTTCATTCCCAGTTTCTGCCATACTGTTTTCCAGTTTTTCCAACAATTTTTACCAAATAATGAATTATTATCCTGAAATCTTAAGTCTTCACACTTATCAGATACAACATTATTATGTTTATTTACTGCTGTAAGTTGTATGTCTTCTCTATTCCATTGATCTCCCTTTTTATTTCTTAGCCAGTACCAGATAGTTTTGATAATTGCTGCCTTATAGTCCAGTTTAAGATCTGGTACTGCACGGGCCAGCTAGGTGGTACATTGGATAGAGCACCGGCCCTGAAGTCAGGAGGACCTGAATTCAAATCCGATGTCAGACCAAACTTGACACTTATTAGCTGTGTGACCCTGGGCAAATCACCTAACCCCAATTGCCTAAAAAAAAAAAAAAAGATCTGGTACTGCTAAACTTCCTTCCTTTCTGTTTTTTTCCCCCATTATTTCTTTTGACATTCTTGACTTTTTGTTTTTCCAAATTAATTTCATTATTTTTTCTAATCCAGTAATCTAATTTTTTGGGTAATTTAATTGGGATGGCATTAAATATATACATTAGCTTAGGTAAAATTGTCATGTTTATTATATTGGTCCTGCCTACCCATGAACAATTAATACCTCTCCAATTATTTAAATCTGATTTTATCTATATATAACATTTTTTATTATTTTGTTTATATAATTCCTAGGTTTGTTTTGGCTGGTGTATTCCCAGATATTTTATACTGTTTAAAATGGGGCATTTTAAAAAACTATCTCTTCTTGCAAAGTTTTGTTTGTGATATATAGGAATGCTGATGATTTATGTGGATTTACTTTATATCCTGATAAATTTGCTAAAATTATTGTTTCAACTAACTTTTTAGTTGGATCTTTGGGATTTTCTAAAAATATCATCATATTGTCTGCAAAAAAAGATAGTTTATCACTTCATTCTATATTCTGATTCCTTCAATTTCTTTTTCTTCTCTTATTACCATTGCTAATATTTCCAATACAACATTGAATAATATTGGTGACAGTGGGCATCACACCTGATCTTACTGGGAAGGCCTCTAGTTTGTCATCATTACAAAGAGTGCTTGCTGATAGTTTTAGATAAATGCTTTTTATCAATTTAAAGAAAAATCCATTTATGCCAATTCTTTCAAGTATTTTTAATAGAAATGAGTGTTAAACTTTATCAAAAGCTTTTTCTGCATCTATTGATAGAATCACATGATTTTTTAAGCTTTTATTATTGATGTAATCATTTATCTTAAGTTTTCCTTATGTTAAACCATTCCTGCATTCTTGGTACAGCCTCTCATAATGAACCTTCTACATTCCTAGCCTCGTCCGGGTATGGGGAGGAGAATGGCAATTATTAACCACCTGCTTGGTGTCAGGCATTATGCTGACACCAAATATTGCAAATATTATCTCCTCTGATCATCACAGAAACCCTGGGAGGCATTTGCTGATAAGTAAGGACACTGAGGCCAAAGAGTCACCCTGCTAGCAAGCATCTTAGGCTAGATTTAAACTCAAGACTTCCAGACTCCTAGGCCTACACTCTTTCCACTGGGCCTTCCTCCTTATGGGTCAGTCTACATCACCAATCAGTAATCCTTTCTGGCCTGTGCCATGGTGCTGTAGGTATTTGTTGGTATTTGAGTTGGTAGCGTAGCCTTTCTCATTGCATCTTCCGTGCTCATAGACCATTTTCTGGGGGATAAGAGGAAAGAGAGAGGCATTTCTTAAGTGTCCTCTCCATGCTAGGTGCTGTTTTTAATAACTAAGGCTAAAAAGTGTCAGCCAGACTCTCTACAGGTCAGCCCACCAGAACAGTAAGGTTCCATTACCCTTACACTGGACCCCTTTGGGGGATCTTCAGAGCCATGGGTCATCGAGTAGGAAATGGAAGCTCTAGAGACCCAAGAATTTTTGAACTACCGTCCTCACCCCCTACAAAACTTTCTGTACCTCTCCCATAATTCAAGGCCATGTCTCAATACTGTCTTAATGCTTGATAAATTCTTATGACATATGGACTAATTCAGTTAATCTTAATTATCTTGCTTTATTCATAATATTAATGTAAAATGCCAAAAATCCATGTTTGTAATTGATCAACTAGGGAAATAGATCTTGCTATTAATTTTATGTAACCTAAAAAAAAAAGGAGTAGGTCAAAATGAGATCCTGAAGTTAATCACCACAACTTGTGCTTCTGATTAGTGTGTGCTTAGCACAAAGGGAAGGAATGGGAGACACAGAGGTGTACCACACAGGGAGGGAGACTGATTTACTGAAACTGAGAGATGTTGTCATGTTTCTGGTGACCAAGAGAGAAGTACTTTTGTTGCCTCAGCTTAACAGATATCATTGTTTTCCCCATGCCAGATTGAATGAGGAATTCTTGCAGGGAATAGTTAAAGAGGGAGTAATTTGTTTGGGGAATATCGCCCACAAGTTTGCACCTCCAGAATAGACATTACTGTTGCTCCATTTAAACAAATGAAAAAAAAACCCTAATCTAGGCTTTCTTCCTCTATTTTCATCCTTCTTTCCAAATTTCTCCCAGCCAGTGGCTGGCGCAGTGTATAGAGCACAGCCCTTGATTCAGGAAGATGAGTTCTAAATCCATCCTCAGACTCTTACCAGCTTCTCTAATTGTTGTTGTTTTCCTAGAGTTTGTTAATGCTTTTCTATATTCATCATATTCATTTGTTCTCATAACGTGGTAGTATTTTTTCTTTTTTTTTTATAACATGGTAGTATTCCCTCACATTCTGTGACAAAAATTTAACCATTCTGTCATTAAGGGGATGTCTACTTTTTTCCAATACTTGGCCATCACAAAAAAGTGCTGCTATAAATCTTTTGGTTTATGTAGACATATTCTTCTTATCAATGGATTCCTTGTTGGTAAAAACCAAGTAGTGGGCTCTCTGCATCAAACAGCATGGACATTTTAGTCCCTTTACTTACATAATTCCAAGCTGAATTCCAAAACAGTTACACTGATTCACAGTTCCACCCATGATGCTTTAGTGTGCCTGTCTTCCCACAGTCCCTCCCTCATTGACTATTCTTATCTTTGTCATCTTTCATAATTTGCTGCGTATGAGGCAGAGTTGTTGGATTTGAATTTCTCTTATTAGTGATTTGGAGTGTTATTTTACATGACTGTTAATAGTTTGCAATTTTTTTTAAAGAAGTATTTGATCATATCCTTTGAACATTTGAGTACTGGGAAATTTTTGTCTTCTATATATCTTTTAGGTTTTATACGTCTTAACAGTAGTGAATATTTTGTACCTATGAGTAACACTTCAAATTTTTTTCTATGGAATTTTATCTCCTTCAGTTCACCATTTGCTGTTACTAATTGGTCATCCACTAAATTTCTTTAGCCACGTTTCGAAAATATAAAAACTGTTTTTCGTTTCTCTCCAGACTATTGTGAGGATGAATGTGAAAGAACTTCCCAAAGATGTGATTCTGGTATGATTTACATTTGATGATGAAATATTTCTTCATTGAGGAGATTCAAGTCAGGTATAAGAATACAGTAGGTGGGGGGGGGCAGCTAGGTGGCGCAGTGGATAGAGCACCGGCCCTGAAGTCAGGAGGACCTGAGTTCAAATCCGGCCTCAGACCAAACACTTGACATGTACTAGCTGTGTGACCTGGGGCAAGTCACTTAACCCCAAATGCCTTACCAAAAAAAGAAAAAGAATACGGTAGGTGGATATGGGGAGGGGATATAAACATTTTATATTTACTTGCAGATGGTGAGACTAGGTCGGAAACCATGGGGTCATCTGTAAAGGGGAACATTTCTCTAGAGACATTTTCTCAGAAAAATCTCAAAAAGGCTAGTGTGTTGACCTCCAGCACGAGAGAAGCCTGGAAATGTGGTACTGGTTTGGGCAGGCATCGAAGCTCTAAGGAGGAACATTCGTGGTAAGTGAGATGTCATATAAAACAAAAACCCAAATAAATTAAGAGACCATGAGTGTAGCAAATATGGGAAAACCTTGAGCCTAGATTGAGTCCTTTTTCCATTGCAGAGCAGGTCTATAGGAAAGAGTCTCCATAAATGTGACAGGAAGAAATTCAACCCGTTATCAGACCAAAATCACCATACTGGGAATTTACCCAACAAAAATATTTTCTAACTATAATGGAGGTGTTAGATTCTTTGATGCTTACTTTGACCTTAATAAATATTATGGAGTGTGTCTTGGAGAGCAATCAAATTAATACAGACAGTTCTCACTTTACAGAAATTCACATTACACAGATTCAACTTTACGTAAATAATTCTAAGACACCCACATTCCAAAAAGAAGTGACAAAAATTCCTTTACACAAGACAGATGCTGTACAATGAGATGCTGTATTATGCAGGCGGCACAAATGGTGGTGGGAATCTGAGAACATCTCTAAGTCAGTTCCCGCGCTTCTGCGGACAGTGAGTGATACTGTACCTCTCCCTGTGTTCAATAGCGATCCTTATATTTTCACCATGGCTGGCGGCAAACGTGTTCTGGAGGGGAAAAGTGAGCCATCTCGTAAGCGCAAGTCAATAGACTTGGAAATGAAAATGAACATAATTAGAAAATACGAAGGAGGACAAAAATTGTCATCGATAGCACGTGAACTTGGCCTTGCCGTGTCAACTGTGAACACCATAGTGAAGGATGCTGCCCGGATAAAGGAGCACGCTGAAGACAGTGCTTGCATGAAGTTGACTTACCTGTCAAAACACAGAGAAGGCGCTATCCTAGAGATGGAAAAACTATTAACCGCGTGGATCGAAGCCCAGAATCAGAAGAATATTCCTTTAAGCTTACTGGCAATTCAAGTCAAGGCTCGAAGCCTCTTTGAAGATTTAAAGGTAAAGTACCCTGAAGGAACACAGGTATTTACAGCAAGCAGTGGTTGGTTTGCACGATTTAAAAATCGTGCAGGATTTCATAATTTGCATGTGTCCGGAGAGGCTATTAGTGCAGCTGCTGAAGCAGCAAAAAAGTTCCCAGAGTTCCTGCAAAAAATAATAGATGAAGGTCCCTACTTGCCGGAGCAAATCTTCAATGTAGACAAAACCGGCCTTTTTTATCAAAAAATGCCATCTCGAACCTATATCTCGGTGGGGGGAAAAATGACGCCGGGGCACAAGGCTTCAAAAAATAGAGTTTCTCTTCTGCTTGGAGGGAATGCCTCTGGGACTTGCAAATTAAAACCTGTTGTTGTACACCACTCGGAAAATCCTAGGGCATTAAAAGGCATCAGCAAGGCAACTCTACCTGTGCATTATTTTGCTAACCCCAAGACGTGGATAACCCTTGATATCTTTGAACAATGGTTTATGCACTGCTTCATTCCTGAAGTGGAGAAGTTTTGTAATGATAACGGCATTCCTTTCAAAATTCTACTGATTTTGGATAATGCCCCAGGTCACCCTCTCCATCTGGATGATTTGAATGAAAATGTAAAAGTGGTCTACCTTCCCCCTAATACTACCTCATTATTACAACCTATGGATCAGGGAGTGATTGCGGATTTCAAGGCCTATTATTTACGTATTACATTTGCCAAGGCAATTGCAGCTTTGGATGCAGATAAAGACTTGACACTGAGAGATTTCTGGAAATCCTATAACATTTACCATGCAATCCAGAATATCGCTAAGGCTTGGGAAGATGTAACAGAAGCATGTATGAAGAGAGTTTGGAACAAAGTGTGCCCGCAGTTTGTTCCTGATTTTAGCGGATTTGACAAAGATGAAACGTTAAAAGAAGCGAGTAAGACGATTGTAAAATTAAAACAGGAATGGGAGCTGAAAGCGGATGAGAATGATGTGAAGGGGTTGATTGAGTCTCGTAGAGAAGAACTATTGAATGAGGATCTGATCGAGCTGCTAGCCGCAAAGATTGAAGAAGAAGAAAGCGAAGCTTCCGAACCCGAGGTCGAGCCAAAAAGGTTCACAGTGAAGCGGTTGGCAGAAGCTTTTCACCACTTGGGTGAATTTTTTTCTTCTATTGAAAAAATGGATCCAAATACTTCAAGATTTTTTAAAGTTCAAAGACTAGTTGAGGATAATATTGCTTGCTATCGTCAGATATATGAGGAAAAAAAGAGAGCCACCGTCTAAACATCTCTTGATAGCTTCATAAAAGAAAAAGTTGTGCAGCCAACTACGAGTGATAAAGGCTAGGTGCAGCGGGTGGAGAAGGAGCAACTTGCTGCACACCAATGTTAACTCTACTGCACAGTCCTGTGCATACTTTATCGTTAACTTTGCCTTTCATTTCATAATTCTGCTTATTATGGTACAGTATTTAATATGTCTGTATTTTAGTACATTTCAAGACTTGCGTAAAGGTATTATTTTGTATATGCCTTTGTTATATAGGCTAAGTGAAGTGGTTGGGTAGAGGCAAATTCTCATTATGTAAAAATCACTTTAGGTAGAGGTCTGCATAACAGTTCACTTATGTAAAGGAAGAACTGTCTGTATAATGAATAAAGAAAAGCCTTCAAGTCTAATCTATGAATTCCTGTCTGATATTAGATCCTGGAGAGAAATCCCATAAAGGTAAAAAATGTCAGAAGGTTTCCCCCCTGAGAATATAACTTATTGGACATCAGAGAATTCTTACCGTAGAGAAGGCTTATGAACGTGATGATTATAGTAAGGTGTACAATCACCACCAATCCCTTTCTTCTCATCACAGGATTGATATAGGGGAGAACTCTTGTAAATATCTTGAAAGTGGGAAGGGCTTCAAAGGAAGTAAAGAATTTACAAAGCACCAAAAAGTTCATACTGGAGAGAACTTTTTTGAATGTCATGTAGATAGAAAGGAGTTTTCAAGGGCAGCTCTTTCTCCACATGTGGGAATTCATTCAGGAGCAAAACCGCAAGAACATCATGAATGTGGGAAGGCATTCTGTAGTAACACAAGTCTTACCCAGCATGTGAGAATTCATGCCAGAGATAAACCTTGTGAATATGGGAAGCCCTTCTAGAAAAAGGCATATCTTAACCAGCACATGAGAAGTCATACTGGAGATTAACCTTATGAATGTCCTGAACACGTGAAGGCCTTCTACCCAAAGACATATCTTAGTCAACACATGAGAATTCATACTGGAAAGAGAACTTTTAATTGTAATGAATGTGGGAAGACCTTCATGTTTAAGTCATCTCTAACCCAGCTTGTAAGAATTCATAATGGAGAGAAACCTTATGATGGACTGAATGTACAAAGGCCTTCTACCCAAAGACATATCTTACTCAACATATAAGAATTCATACCACAGAGAGACCTTTGAATTGCAATGAATGTAGGAAGACCTTCAAGTGTAAGCCAAATCTCACCCAGCATGTGAAAATTCATGCTGGAGAGAGACCTTATGAATGTCTTGAATGTGGAAAGATCTTCTACAAACAGAAATATCTTACCCAGTATGTGAGAATTCAATCTGGAGAGAGACTTGTAATGAATGTGACAAGATCTTCAGACAGAGGGAAAGCTTGACTCAACTCCAGAGAATTCATATAAGAAAGAATGACTTCTGGTTGATGTGACCAACATGATGTAGGATAAGACACTTTCTCTCATCATGATTTCTCAGACCCTTTCAAAGTAGCAATTAGGTGAAAGAAAATCCACAGCATAGAACATCAAGAACTCTAACAGGATAAAACATTATGAGTGCTATGAATTTAGGAAAGCTATCCTCTAAGAGTGAAGAACTTACATTCCACACTAACAAATACATGCTGGAGAGAAACCTTTTGAATCAAATGATCAACAGTAGGCCTGCTGCCGGAGCATTCCAGATTAATTCAGAAAGTCTTTATTGAATGTGTACTGTATGGAAGGTACTGTGCTTAGATAAACATGCACATCCAATTATATATAGAAACTCATTTTACCCAAATGGAATGTAAGAAGGAAGGAGAAGAGAGAGGGTATGTTAAGGGAAGCAGTGATCCGAAGCAAAACAGATTCTTGAGGAAGGGCTAGGGTAAAAAAGATAGGGATAAGAATAGGATGGAGGGAAATACGCAGCAAACATAACTCTGAATTTGAATGGAATGATCTTACCCACAAAATAAAAGATGATAGGAAAATGGATTAGAAATCAGAATCCAACAATATATTATTTGCAAGAAACATACTTAAAACAGAAAGATATATGCACAAAGTTAAAGGGCTGGTGCAGAAATTATTATGCTTCAACTGAAATATTAAAAAAATGACGGGAAGCAATCATGATTTCAGACAATGCAAAAGCAAAATAGATCTACTTTAAATAGACAATCAGAACAGAATTCTGAGAAGATGGTGGAGCAAGATGGGAAACATTGGGCTCTCGGGATTCTCCCTCAAACATGATAAAAATATTGCCTCAAAGGGAATTTTGAGCTGCAGAAATAATTAAAAGTGGGGGTAAAACATTTATCCCCCTAAGAGAACTGGGAAGGACCTTAAGACCCAATCTCCTGGGGTGGAGGCCTGGCCTAAGTGCAAACACCTCTAGGCAGAGTCTGCTGAATCAACAAACAACAATCCCTGTTGAGGGATACTGTTGAGCAGTAACCTCACCTCACAGACTGTGGGAGGAGGGGGTCACACAGTTGAGTAAGGACTCTTGGCAGTTGCCGGATGCCAGGTACGGGTGTGCTGACCAGACACAGTCCTAGGCTGCAGCGATGGGCAAGGAACAAGCACATGCCCAGCTGAGTATGGTGGCAGAGGCACGGGGACTCTGCCGGCTGTGGACACTCACAGGAGAGCAGAGTACCTGTTCCATTCCAACGCAGAGGGTGAGATGAAGTTCACAGCTACAAGAGGGACCGCAGGGAGCAAGAACGTTTGCAGTGACTGAGGGGCTGGGTGCCCTACTTCTGGCTCAGGGGCAGAGAGGAGCGTCCAAGGTTGGGCTCCCAGATAGAGCTTAGAAACAACAGTACGTAAAACCTGAAGCCTGAGGCATCATCTCCCACACCTCAGGACTAGAACCTGACTATAATAAGCTGCTAAAAATATAAATAATGAGTAAGCAAAAGATAAAGAACCCGACCATAGATAGCTACTATAGGGACAGAGAAGATCTAGGTTCATATTAGAACATAATGAAGCTAAAAAACCCCACTTCTACTTCAAAGGAAAATGTCAAATGGTTACAAGCCCCCTAAAAGAGTTCTTCAAAGAGCTTTAAAAAGACTTTAAAAATCAAATGAGAGAGGCTAAGGAAGAATTAGGGGGAAAAAAGCAATTCATGAAAATTATGAAAAGAAAGTCAACCAATTGGGAAAAAGATCCAGAAACATATGGAAGAAAATAAGTCCTTAAAAACTAGAATTGGGCAAGGGGAATGTAAAGAAAAAAAATTTTAAAAAATGAAAAAAAATAGGGGAATATGAAACATCTCATTGGAAAAACAACTGATCTGGAGACCAGATTGAGGAGAGATAGTATAAAAACTGTTGGACTACCTGAAAGTTATGATAAAAAAAAAAAGAGTCTAGATATGATATGACAAGAAATTATTGAGGAAAATTTCCCTGAAGTACTAGAATAAGAGGGGAAAATAAAAATAGAAAAAAATCCATTGATCACCACATGAAAGAGATCCCAAGATGAAAACTATAGAAGGTATTACAGCCAAGTGTTGAAGCTCCCAGGTTAAAGAGAAAATACTACAAGTAACAAGTGGGAAACAATTGAAATACTATGGAGCTACAGTCAGGACAACACAACATCCCTGCAGCTTCCACATTAACAGATTGAAGAGCTTGGAAAACTACATTTTGAAGAATAAAGGAGCTGGGCTTGCAACCAAGAATAATTTACCCAGCAAAGCTGAGTATAATCCTGAATGGGGGAGGGGGGGAGGAGGGATATTTAATGAATTGAAAGACTTTCAGGTATTCCTAGCAAAAAGACCACAGCTCAATGGAAAATTTGACATTTAAGATCAAGGAGAAACATAAAGCAAAGGTTAAAGGCCAATTATAAGGGACTCAATAGGTCAGACTGTTTCCTTCTTATATGGGAAAATGCTATGCATACTTTGAAGACTGTTATCACTACTTGGGTAGTTTGAAAGATTGTACACAGATAAAAGGCTTGGAGTTGAGTTGAGTATGATGGGATAATTCTAAAAAATAAAATTGGTGAGCAATAGTTAAAATGGAGTAATTATACAAATGAGGCAAGAATGGAAAAATTGTTACAGTGGAAGCAGGTAGGGGTAGAGGGCTTGTAGTGCTGAAATCTTACATCAGAGCAGGGCTAAAGAGGCAATAACATACTTCCAGAGGGGTATAAAATGTCTTCTAAATTTATAAAGAAATGGGAAGGCAAGGAGGCAGGATGAGGGAGGGACTTTTAGAAGGGTATGTACATCCAAGAAGTAGGAAGGTGGAGGGGGAGGATAAAGGAGGGACTCCAAGGGGGTGGGTAGACTAAGGAACAGGAGGGCAAGGTAGTGGTTAGATGTAAATTAGTGAGGAGGGAAAGGGTAAATAGGGTGAGAAGGATAAAAACAAAAAAAAACAGGATGGAGAGGAATACATAACTAGTAATTATAACATTGAATGTGAATGGGATGAACTCGCCCATAAAATGAAAATGGATAGCAGAATGGATTAAAAATCAGAATCCAACAAACTATATGCCAATTTCAAGAAACACAATTAAAAATGAGAAATACGTAGAGTTAAAATAAAGGGCTGGAGGAGAATGTATTATGTTTTAGCTGATGTAAAAAAACCAAAAACCAAAAACCAGGGGTATCAATCGTGATCTCAGACAAAGCTAAAGCTAAAATATATTGAATTAAAAGAGATAAACAGGGAAACATGTGTCACCAATATTATTCAATATTGTTTTAGAAATGCTAGCAATAGCAATAAGAAGAAAATACCAGATCTTAAACTATATTATAAGGGAGCAATTATCAAAACTATCTGGTACTGGTTAAGAAATAGAAAGGTAGATTAGTGGAGCAGTGTAGATATATAATACATCATAGTAAATGATTATTGTAACCTTTTGTTTGACATGTAAAGATTTAAGTTTTGGGGATAATAATTCATTATTTGGTAAAAACTGTTGGGAAAGCTGGAAAGTAGTCTGGCAGAAACTGGGCATAGACCAATGTCTTATACCATTCATGAAGATAAGGTCAAAATGGATACATGACCTATATATAAAAAGAGATATCACAAGAAAATTAGAAAAACATGGAACATATTACCTATCAGATTTATGAATAGGAGAACAATTTGTGAATAAACAAGAAATAGCATTGTGAGGTGTAAAACAGATAATTTCAATTGCATTAAATTAAAAAGGTTTTGCACAAATAAAACCAATGCATCCAAGATTCGAAGGAAAGCAGAAAATTGGTTTTTGGTTGTTTCTTTCTTTTCTTTTCTTTTCTTTTTTTTTTGTGTGAGGCAATCAGGGTTAAGTGACTTGCCCAGAGTCACACAGCTAGTAAGTATCAAGTGTCTGAGGCCAGATTTT